CAGCTGGCATTTTCTGGGGCCAGCACCAGGGAGGGCACGGGCAGAGAGCTGTGGCTCCTCCGGGCCTTGGCAGCCAGCCCTCGCACAGTGTCCCCAGCCCAGGAGGCACCCAGGCTCTACTTGTGGCAGTTATCAGAGGGATTGCCTCTGTCCCTGTCACCAGAGCAGGGTGTCTCTGGGGAAAGGGCATGGAGAGCCAGGTGTTCTGCCCAAGTGGGCTCTGTGGTCTGTGGCTGAGGGGAAGGAAGAGAGGGGAAGGGGCCCCAAAGGTGAGGCCAGATTGTGGGTGCAGGGCCTGGCTGGGGGTCAGGAGGTAGGGGTGGAAGTGTGCAGGGTGGGGAGAACCTGTGATGCCGTGGGGCAGCAGCAGTTCACATACACATGTGCAGCCTTGTCTCCAGGGGACTCTGTAAGTGGGAAGGCATCGCCTGCTGAGGCTGGGCAAGCCACCCCCAGAAGGGTGAGGAGGGGGTGCCATGCAGCTGGAGCGCCAGGGAGTCGCCCGCTCCCCACCCATGTTCATGGCTCCTGGGCCACAGGCATGAGAAGAAGTGCACAGAAGCGAGATGTCTGGGAGGCTCAGGGTGGGGCAGCTGGTCAGGAGGTCATCCTGCCCAGAGGCATGAGGAAACACCAAAGCTTTGCAGACCTGGAGAGGCCCCTGGATAGGAGGAGGCCCACCACAGTAGGGCCACCTCGTGGCTGGTCACAGCAGCCATCGGCTCTGCTCACCCTGCAGAGGCCCACAACAGGGCTTGGTCACAGTCCATGCAGCGCTGGGAACCGGACAGACTCCCAGAGCAGGGGGAGCAGGGAGCCATGTCGCAATGGAAGCCTCCAGATGCTGGCTGATGAGGGAGGCCCTGACCCTAGACGCTGCCACACCCTGAGAAGAGCAGGCGGGCAGGGCACATGCAGGAGCAGCAGCACCCGGTGGCTGCGCTCCCACAACAGCAGTCAGGAGCACGCCTCTGCTCCTGGAGTCTCACTGCAGCCCACAGAGGGTGTCACCCCTTCCCTATCCTCACCCCCAGCAAGCCACGCCCCAAGAGGCCACGTAGCTGCCTGAGTACAGGTTATAGACTGCAAGGCTGCTTCCACTGTGGTGGTTGACATCGGTCCCCTTCCTCCTCCTCCTCCTCCTGCCAGGTTCTCAGGGGAGCAATGTTCTCCTCATCTACTCATCCATCTGGCCTGGCCCATGTGACCACTGTGGCTCCCGCTTGTCCCTCTGAGGACAGGACCTGTCCCTGTTCCTGCTGGCTGTCCCACACCCACATTTCCTCAGCTTTGCCTTCTCTGGCCCCAGCATCTCCTGGACAAGACTCCTGGCCCATGGTGACTTGGCAACCCCTCTGCAGTCGGGGTCCTGGCCAGTTTGGGACCCATCCCTGTCCTCTGAGCCTTGGATGGTGAGAATGAGGTGAAGATGGACTGTGGTGTTTTCCATTTTCATAGGTGCAGGGCCATGGGGTGGATTGTATCCCTCTGCCCAGCTCCATCGCTGAATTCCTGACCCTGCTACTGCAGGATGTAACCTTCTTGGGGAGTAGGGGCCTTGGGTTATTCTGGACCAGAGTGGCCCTGACCCAAGGTAACTAGCATCTTTATAGGGAGCTGTGGGCACAGACACTGTGCCCTTGGAAATGCTGGTAGAAGGGGGACAGGTGGAGGCACTGCTTCTGCAAAGGACAGAGACGCCAGTGAACTGGAAGTGGGGTCAGGGTGGGGAGCAGATCCTTCCCCACAGCTGTGAGGAGCCTTCCTGCCCACCTTCCACCTCGCACTTCCCCTGGAACTGTGAGCAGAAGTTTCTCTTGAGCCCCATTTGTGATGTTTGCAGTAGCCTCCAGCACAGCACTTCCATAGGTCAAGCAAGGAGCCTGCTCTGGGGCTGGTGGCAGGGGTGGCCTTCCGGGGTAGCTGCGTCCCGGTGTCCTATCTCCACTCTCCCCTCCCAGCCAAAGGCTTTAGCAGGGCTGAGTCCCAGACACAGACTCAAACACCTGCCATACATTCCAGTCCTGTCTGGCTATGATCTGCTCCAGGCCCTGAGTGGCTGCATGGTGTCCTGACCTGTCTTTCCTCAACCCCGTTGTGTGGCACAGCATTCCAGGAGTTGCCAAGCAGGCCCTTGCCACCTGCAGTGTAGGGAGGCCCAGATGGAGGGTTTGCCTTCTGTGGCTTGGCCAGAAAAAAGGGGCCTGGAGAGACCTTAAGGAAGCCTTTCAACCATGAAGAAGAGATTCCTGACCATCCCCACTGCCCTGTAACCAAGTGGGAGGGATGTTGGGGTATGGACATACAGGTGCTGCCTGTGACAGGGAAGTCCCTGTCCTCTCCAGACTGACACCACAGGGCAGGTTCTCTCTAAGAACTTGGAGCCCACACCTGTCCCACAGAACTTAGTCTCAGCTCAAGTGGAACCTAGAGTCTGTCATCACCTGAAATTAAGCAGGAGAGAGGGCATCCACATGGCCTCCATGACAGAACTGTCCCCAAGTGTCCCTGCAGGACCTAGGGTCAATGGAACAGCAGGCAGTCATTGAGTGTCTCCCTTCATTCCTGACCTTTCATCCCAGAGGACTGGAAATTGAGGGCCTTTCCAGGCTCTTTCCACAGAGCTGAGTGGGCCTAGAACTCATGAGTGAAACAATAGCTGTCGTCAAAACCACATGCTCCCTCTGTGGGGAAGACCAGAGTTGTCAGACTTCCTCTGGGCTGCTGAGCACTGGTAAACAGGGATAACCTGGCTCAAGGTAGGTACAACATACAGCACTGTCCTTATGTACCTCAGGCCACTTGGGGGCCTTCTCTGCCTGATAGTGTGTGTCCTGAGCTTCACCCCAGCCAACCCGTGCTTTCAGAACCTTCTGGAATCTTCTTTGTGGCCTCATGTATGCTCCCTGAGCGTATTCCAATCCTTACTTCTCCCTTCTCCGGAGTAAAAGCGTGCCTTGAGCCTCACCAGCCAAGAAAGTACAAACCTAGAGAAAAAGTCATGGGAAGTCTGTAGCCAAGGGTCCGTGATAGTGGTCCCAGGAAGAGAAGAGAAGGATTACTCTTGGGGAATCTGGGTCTCAGCTTCCCTGGCCAGGGTCTCTGGGTGAGAGCCAGCACCAGCGTGACCCTCAGGGCTCTGCATGGTTCCCTCAAGCACTCCTTTCCATAAAGATGGGTGTTCTTCACAGAAATGAGCCTGTGAGTCTCTGTGGCCTTTTCAGATTTTTCTTTCATCTTATTGGGACATAACATTCATTGTAGGGAATTTACCTGTACGTGGTACATCCTGCCTTTCTTTTCTTCCTCCAATCCCCTCTTCTCCCTTCAGTCCCTCTTCCCTTCTTTAGGTACCAAAGCTCTGTTTCCATATTTTCCTCTTATTCTTTTTTTTTTTTTCCTTGTCTCTTCTTTCTTTTTAGATGATTATTAAGATAAGCTCCAGGTAAACATTTAGAAACTGCATCACCCATAACCAGAAGAGAGGGCCCAGACAGGTAGCTGGTTTGTAACTCTGTCTGAAATTAACCACTTAGAAGAACCGGGTTACAGTGAGCAGACATTGCCCACTGGTGACCCCATCCCAGCAGGCTCCTCGTCCAGGACCACTGCTTCTTGGGTTGCTCTGGAAGCGTCTTTCTGCCAAGGCGGATATCAGTAGGCAGGTGCCAGAACTCTGGCTTACTTAGGACCAAACTCGAACAATGGCCCGTGTGTTCTGCTGGTGAGAGCGTCTCTAGGCACACTCCTCCCGCCCAGGATCAAAGTCTTGGCTTCCTCTGTGGTACCTGACACGGCCGGAAGGCTGTGCATTCCCAGCCTGGAGACTGCGATGGGATCGGAGAAGGGGTTGGCTGCCAGTCTCCTGAGCGGCTCTGGTTCATCTCCACTGCGCCTCACAGTCAAATTCCTGCGTCACCCAGCACAAAGGCCCTGTCCTGAGATGGGCCGGAAAGCGTCTCTATAAGCCAGACAAGTGGCTATTCCAGTCTGGGGTGGCCAAGATGTGTCCCTACCCTGGAGACCTGGGCCCACCCTACCCCTTCCCGGCAGTGGGCCCTGTTTCCTCCCAACACTGGCTCACTGGTTTCTGGCTGTGGGCTAGGGTTCCTTGCGCCCCCTCCTGCCCACCCCAGGTAGCACACAAGATGTCCACACAGCAGCCCAGGTCACTCACTGGGTCACTCCTGGAGAGGCAAGCGGCTTTCCTTCCTTATTAACCATAGTCCCACAAAGCTGTCCCCGGCTGCTCCCACCCTAACCCAGGCCCTGTCCAGCCCCTCAAAGATTCTAGGCTCTAGGTTGCTGTGAGTGAGGCTTTTTCTGAGCCAGCCAAATTGTTTCGGCCCCAGTCCCACTTCCTGTGTGCCTGCCAAATTGTTTCAGCCGGAGGCCTGTTTCCCATGTGGTTAGCAGCTCACCCTTCAGCCCTGCGTCTCCTCTCCTCCCTCCTCCTGCTCTGTAGGTCACAGGCAAGATGAGGGCAGGAGAGTCTGCCTGTGTTGTTGGCAGGACAGTGTGGACTCTGGAGCCAAAGGTCTGTGTTTAGTCTCTGCCATTCCTGAGCTATGTGACACTGGGCAAGTCACACACCCTCTCGGCAGAGTTTTCCTCTACTGTGAAGACATTTCATCGCCTAGAGCACTCATCTCATAAGCTCGCTGTGAGGAGTTAATAAGCAGGTCCCATCCTGTCAGGTGCATCCCGTGTCTGTACAATTCTTAGCTATAGCGAGGATATTGACCTCAATGTCATTGATGTCATCATCATGGGGTGGTGGAAGACGGTGGAGGGATGTGGCACTTGGAGTCAGGGGATATGGCTTTAGGCTGTGGCTCTGCCACCCTGGGGCAGGGGCAGGGTGCAGACTCTGAGCTCCCATATACCTGTTTCTAAAACTGGGGCTCAGAGATGAGGATAGGAGTGTGTGAAGACCCCGGAAGCAGGCACAGGGAGCAGTACATCCCATGCCAGGCTAATTCTGTCGTCTTTTCCTGCAGGCACACATTCTGGCAATTCCGCCAAGAGAACCCTAACACCAGGGTTGGGGGGCCTCCCCCTGAAGGGCTCCCAGGCTTCAACAGTGGGGTGATGCTGCTGAGCCTGGAGGCCATGCGCCAGTCCCCACTCTACAGTCGCCTGCTGGAGCCCGAGCAGGTGCAGCAGCTGGCCAGTAAGTACCACTTCCGAGGCCACCTCGGGGACCAGGACTTCTTCACCATGATCGGCATGGAGCACCCCGAGCTCTTCCATGTGCTGGACTGCACCTGGAACCGGCAGCTGTGCACCTGGTGGCGGGACCATGGCTACAGTGACGTCTTTGAGGCCTATTTCCGCTGTGAGGGCCACATCAAGATCTACCACGGGAACTGCAACACCCCAATCCCAGATGACTAGGGGCCTCTGGGACAGGCCCAGGGCCACACCAGCTCCTCCAGGGACTTTGCAGGGGCATCCTTGGGAATCTGGGTGCTGCCGACCTCTCAGCCAGCCACCCAGGACACCCAGGAAGTCTGGCCTTTGAGTTGCTGGTGTTCAGGAGCTCAACACGGGGCCAGCATCCTAAGGACAAACGCGGAAGTATCTTCCAGTTGGCTGGGAAACAGCATTTGAGAAGAAATAAAAGCAAATGATGCCCTTGCGCCAAGGAATCAAAATCCTTTTAAGAACTGGCCTTCCTTGACCAGGTATAAATTTGATTCAAGTCGACAGGCTCATGTTTTGTGAGAAAGAACCAATGGCATAGCTGCAGCTCTGGGTGAGCTCAAGCGAGACAGCCAGGCTTGCCACAAACAGCCAGATCGCTGTGTCCAAGGAGCCCCGGCCCTCCTCATCCTTGTCCAGGAGGCCATGTTCTTCCTCTTAAGATGCCTCATGCTTGGCACAGGCTTCATGATCCACCTTTTCAGGAGACACCTCCAGGGCCAGCTGCGGGCCGTGTAGCAGTCTGCTTATTGTAGCGTCTACAGCTTTTATCTCCCAGTTACATCACAGAGCTCCAGTATCCCGTGTCCCTCCTTCAGCCCCGGTGACCTGACTGTTGTAAGAAATCAAGTCTAAAACCAAAAAGAGCAGAGATTGGCCACTCCAAGACATTCAGTAGAGTCACCTGGACTTGGAAGATCGATTCCAAAGAGGAACAGCCCAGCTGTTCACCAGCACAAGGCTTATCATCACCCTCACCTCTCTTTTTTTAGTTTATGTGTTTGGCAGGGGTCTTGCTACACAGCTCAGACTAGTAGTGATCCTCCTGTTTTCAGCCTCCCTAACACTGTGATTACAGGCATGCATCACCATGCCCAGTTTTGGTGGCCAACTCAGAGCACCCAGGGTGGGGCTGGCACATCATGTGCTAGCTGGGATTGAACCTGGGTCCTTGTTCTCGCCAGGCAGATGCTTAGTCCGCTGAGCTATCTCTGTGGCTCACCCTCACTTCTTTGTTTAAAAGAAAACATTCATCCTCCAACTTTCCTTCCTATACCCCATAGAAATCAGGATGTAGTTTCTTTGTCTCTCCTTGTGATGGATTCCCCTGTTAAGTAAGCGGCGAACTGGAAGCCCATTGAAGTCCATCTCCTTCAGAGTCCTGCTGCCATCTGGGGCCACAGAGCTGCTAAGGGATCATTCATCTCATTCTGTTTCAGTTTCATTTTCTTCTGAATTTCTTCTCACCGTGTGTGAGAGAGCTAATAAATAATCTTTGAGAACACAGTGATTCATGGTGTTTGTCCTCGGATCACAGCTCCTAGCTGCAGGAGGTTCTGAATGAAGCATGCACTCCATACCGGGCCAAGCTCCTTTCTCCTGATTAATCCACACACACTCCCAGTGGGGCTCTGAGGACTAGTGGAAAGTCAAGGTTGAGGGCCCGGGCAGGGTAGCTTCACATTTGGGTCAGAATCCTGTCACTGAAGCAGGTCCCTCAATTCCGGGGACAAAAACAACCCCAACTGTATTCATGCTTCTAGGCCAGACCTTTCCCTCAGACCAGTTACCCTGCTTCTTGACAGTGGAACTCACTTCTCCCCTGACCAGCAATGGGTGCTGAATGGTTCTGGCCTCTCAGTCACTTGATGTGGGATGTATAGCTACCAGCTGTGGAGTGCCAGCTGTGGGACAGGCATTGGATTGGTACGGGCAACACTCGAGAACACCTCGGAAGGTCATTCCTGTTCCGTAGGTGATCTCAGAACACATAAGCATGTAGACAGTGTCATACATTGTTCATTACAGCACTTTTCATAATAGGAAAAACCTACAAAGAACTGAAGATGTCAAGAGGGGAAGTAGATACGGAACGTATGTGGCATCCCTGGAATACAGAAAAAGAGGCAGCGAGGAGAGGGAGCCCGCTTTAATGTTGTCAGTTCAACTCCTAAAAAGCCCTGTGCTTCAAATACTGCATTAAAAATCAATTATTTCAATAGGGGAAAAATTGGATTAAAGGCTGGGGAATTTTAAATTCACAATAACAAAGGCATCTTTCAGCAGCCATTTCCATAATTAAAGTCCTTCTACAGCTCTGAGTGTCTTTTCTCGTCTTGGAAGGAGAAGCAGTAAACTGCTTGGCCAAAGTGGGCCCAAACCCAACAGCATCTCCCAGTGCCTTTTGCAGTCACCCAGGCCAGGGCGACCTTGAGCTCACCAGTGGCGGTGAACAGCGGAATCCACCCAGCGAAAATCTAGCCAGGTCCATGCAGCCTGGTTGCATTGGTTCCTGTGCCTTACCACGGCAGCTTTTTGACAAATCCTGCCCTGCTGGCTCTGATTGGGGTCCTGTTACAGTCGGTGCGATGCAAGCAGAATGAACCACCCTGTGCTCAGGGAGCTTCGCGAAAGCTTTCACTGTCAAGTTGGCTCCTGTACCTGTAGGGGAGCAGAAGCCTGAACACCTTTTGGGGTTCTAACATTAAGGTAGTTCAATCTTCATATTTCTGTGTTTCCCATAATGAATATTAATTGGTTTGATAATAAATGCTATACACTTTTGGCCATGGTCTTTCCCAAGTGCTGACAAAGAGCTTGCTGGCCATTTCATGGCTGTCAAGGTTGGCTGCAGTTGACATCACCTGCAAGACAGCATAAGCCAGGCTAACCAGGCCCTGAGTCCTCAGTTTCCCCAAGGGGTGTCCTTGTTCTCTAAATGTGAGCAATCCCATAATAGCAGCTCCAGGCCCCGCTTTCTTTTCTCCGGTACTGTTACCCTTGTGTGTACATAAAGTCCACCCAGCAAGTGACATGAAAGGCCTTGGGGAAGCTGATGAGATGGATTCGTGTATGTGTGTCAAGCCAGGCAGGCTGCAGCGACCCTAGTACTTCACCAAGCCACAGGATGCTGTGGGGCTCCGAGACAGTACCCACCCTGAAGTCACACGGGGAAAGTACTGAGTGCCCAGCTCCTGCTGGGAGGCTGGGAGACACTACGCTGTGGAACACACAAATCATTGGCAGCTGCAGGTTTCTGTGCCTCACCTCATTGGCCAGCCACTTCCTGGCGAGCTGTCATGGAATAAAAACCCTTGCGCCAGTGCCCCGGAGGCCGTGTGCTGAAGCCTCTGTACCACCCCAGGGCCAGCTGCCCTCTCCCAACAACCCCCTTCTGACCCGCACCTCAGGCTGTGTGTGGCCACAGGAGCCCAGGCCAGGGAGTCTTTCTGGGCCCTGGAGAGCGAGGTAGAGACACTCCTCAATTCAAGACCCCTGGCTGCTCCCTCTGAGGCCTGGTTCCTTTCTGTTTATTCCTTTCTACAGCCATTTCCCCATTTCACTCCCATCCTCCCAGGCCCTGGCTCCCTCCAGTGTAACTTCTGTGTATCTTTTTCTATCCTTGTAATATAGCTTTTATTTTCTTTTTCTTTGCAGTGCTGGGGGACAGAACCCGGGGCCCTCTGCTTGCTAGGCAAGTGCACTGTCACTGAGCTACATCCCCAGCCCTGTGTTTTTTGGGACTTTTGTTCATTTAATTTTCAGACGGGGTCCCAGTAAGTCACCCAGCCTCGTGAATAGCTGGGATGATGGATGCATGCCACCACGCCTGCATTTTCTCTCTGTTCTGCACTACCTGGGCTACATATGGCCTTTGTGAGTAGCTCAGCAGGATGGTGCTGGGGCTTAGTCCTTAGTGCCATAAAAACTAATAAAAATCCCCACACCAGACATGAGCCAGCTGCCAGCTGCTACCCCAGGATCCTGGGCCACCCCTGCCACCCACCTGTGGATGGACTCCCCCATGTCCCCAGCACACCTCTGGGCAGCACCTTGGTTTCTGTGTTCCTGCTCCTGTGGCCCCGTGAGTTTGTGGTCGTTGCTCCCAATGTAGACTTCTGATTCCGAGTGGTGCCACCTGCCCACGAGTCCCGCTTTCTCGACACACTGTGTGCTCATGTCTCCATGTACATGGACTCGTGGGCTCTGAACATACAGGGAGCTCCAGGGCATGCAGCCCCTAGTCATGGCTGCTGTCCAGGCCCACAAGCTAGCTCCTGGTGGGCAGAGCCTGGGACCGCCCCTCCCCTACACGCTCAGAGTCTGCAACCCCAGCTGAAGGTGCAGCATTTTTGTGTTTGTCAGTTGTCCCGGTTGGGCAGAAGGCGATCCTCTTCTGTTCAGGCAACAGACCATGGCAGGATTGTCGCTTATCTTCCAAGGGTAAGAGAACACATGCTTGGGAAAATGTAAGTGCGTGGTCACACGGCCAGCCCTGGGAGCTTCCCTGTGGATCTGGAGCCCTCTCCTCCCACCCCACCTTTTGGGGATTAACTCCTCACTAACCAGAACTCACAACAGCTCCTATCTACTCTGCTTAGTGGCTCCTCGGCCTTTCCTCGTGCCCTGCCTGCCTCCCAGGACCTCCTGCCACCCTGCTTGGGGACACCCCACCCAGAGCTGCAGACCTGGGGCAGGGGCACGCTGAGAGAGAGAGGCTCTGTGGGGAGCTCCGTTTTCATGGGAAGGAGATATCCAACCTCTGCCGAGAGATGGGCGCTCTGCTGCGTCAGGCCCTGGGCAGGACTTGGACTTGGGGGCTTCCAGGCTGGCCCTGCCACCACCTTGCTGTGTCAGCAGAGCAAGTTACTCCCATCTCTGGATCTCATTTACTCCTCTAGAACAGAAAAGAGTTGGGCAGAGTCTCTAGTTCAAGGCCTAGGGGAAAATGAACTCTGTCTGTCTGTCTGTCCATCCGTCTCTTTCTTTTTTACTTTTTTGATGTTTTGACAGAGTCTTGCTATGTAGTGCAGGCTGGCCTTGAACTCACTATGAAGCCCAGAATGGCCCGAACTCATAGCGCTCCTTCTGTCTCGGTGTCCCAAGTGCTGGGCTTAAGGCATGTGCCACCACGCCTGGATGCCCAGAGCCTTCTGTAGCCCTGCTCAAAGCCCCTTCTGTCTTCAGCTTGCCTCTCTCTTCTTCCTTCCCTGGCTCAAAGGTGGAGCTGGCATTTGGTGCCTGTCCTCTGTCACCAGTGCCACTCTGAGCACCTCTCTGCAGCATGGTGGAGTTCTCTGCTTGTCAAGGTTCCCAGTAAGAAGCAGCCACCGCCTAGCTACGCAATGGTCTGCATGTCTGCAGCACGTGCAGGCGGCTGGGATGCGGCTCCTGGGGCCGCTGACCACACAGCATCCTGTGGTCCCCAGCGCGGACCCCAGGAGAGGGAAGGAGAAGCATCAGAGCCTGTTTTAAGAAGAGTCATATGAGGCGTGATGGCACATCCCTGTGATCCCATCACCCAGAAGGCGGAGGCAGGAGGATCAACTTCCAGATCAGCCAGGGCTACATAGTGAGTTCAGAACTGGCCTGTAGACCCTGGCTAAAAAAAAAAAAGTAGAATAAAATAAAATAGAATGAATCAGAAAAACTTCCAGCCTCAGGCTGAGCCCATACTCTCTGACACTTGAAACTGAGCTGAGGAGGCCGAGTTACTGAGATGCCTGTGAGAGGTATACGAGATAAGGAAACCGCTGCAACTCAGGCTTTCTAAGTGGAGCCGGGGAGCGACAGGATGGAGCCCTGCCGCTGTGCGCAGGCTGAGGAGCGAATGAAGTCAATGCACTGCCCCCAAAGCCTGTCAGCAGAGTAACCTCATTAATCACCAACCAGAGCACTTTGCAGTTCAGGATTTCTGCCCAGCCAATAAACTGCTTCTGCGAGGGACAAAACCCTCTCTGACATGTGCAGTTTGCCATGTGGGCCACACCATTCAGGGATCACTGGTCATCCAGGTCCCCAAAGCAATTCTTTGTTTCCCCAATAAATGCCTTT